CCTTTTGACATACATCACATACTTTATCTTTCACAAACTTGAGTTTAGGCAAGCCAACTACAAGATCTCTAGAAATCAATTTGTTTAGATGATTCATATGAATATGAGCTAACCTCCTATGCCATAACCAGGAATCATTCTCTTTAGAAATTAAGCAACAGTTCTTAGCAGAATTTGTATCTAACATGTAAATATTGTTGATCCTCTTACCAGTAATCATTACTTGTTCTGAATCTGAACTGATAATTTGACATTGATTTTGCCCAAAAACAACTTTGTGTCCTTTATCACACAGCTGGCTAAAACTAATCAAATTATGTTTTAAACCCTCAACATATAAAACATTGTTAATAATACCTGATTCTGCACATTTGATGTCACCTATTCCAAGAATTTTTCCTTTATTATTATCACCATAGACAACAGTTCCACCATTCTTTAGTTTAAGATTGCAAAATTTTGTAATATCACCTGTCATGTGTTTGGAACAACCACTGTCAAGGTACCAGAGATCTTCACTTTGTTTTTCCTGAAATGAAATTAGTATAGTTGCAGTACAAAATGATACAGTGTTGAAATAAACAATTAATTCTGCACTGGAAGTATAATTTTAATCGATTAATTTGATACTCAATCGATTAATCAAGTTCTAGAGAGAATGTATCAGAATAATAATCGATTTAAACGAGGAATAATCGGTTAATTTTATTCTGTTAATGATTTTAACTGATATGACCGATCAGAATTTTTTCAATCGATTAAAACACGTTTCAATCAATTAAAACCACTTAAAGGTTCAGGATGATCGATCAGAATGCAATTATGACCGATCAGAATCAGTTATGATCGATCAGAATTGAGTTATGACCGATCAGAACTTTTTCAATCGATTAAAACAACTTAGAAAATTTCTACACATCGTTTTAATCGATTAAAACTTATTAAAACTTAGAAAATAATGAAAAATGTGGTTTAAATGGTAAAAAGTCATTTAGTGTGATTTGTTGAAGCAAAAATTATGTTGTTCAAACAAAAGGGTAATCGAGGTAAAAGAATTGACATTATAAGTGTCTCCCTCAAGATGACACATAAGATGCTCAAGTAAAATATTTGTAAAGATTTTTTTTTGTATTTTGCTCAAGTGATGAATGATTGTTCAAGCAAAATACTAATATAAAAAAATGAAATTGGTTTTATACGTTAGTAGCTCAAGTGATTAGAATAAAACTCAAACAAATAACAAACAAGATTAATTACTTGTTTCATGGGTACTTCACTTAAGCATGGATGAGAACACTTAAATGAAGTGGTCCTTTATGCTTAAGGGAGGAGTGATCGCTTGAGGGAGGAAAAGAGAAAATTATTTGAGTTGGATATTGAAAGTATATCACTTAAGCAAATAAAAGTCGCTCAAGTGATATACATTTGTTATTGAAATGAATATTGTGGTCAAGGAATTCTGGGTTTAAGACCCATGTGAAGCTTATGTGAGACTAAGTTGAGCGTGAAGTTTGTACTTCGAATTTATTGGTATAAATGTATGATGTGAGTCTGGGTCAAGTTAGAGGTTGTTGCTTATAATTGAATGAAATGTGTATGTTGGTGTGAGACAAGTTAACCTCAAACATGTGGTCCAAAAATAACAATATGTACTTGAGATTGCAATGTGTTAGCATAACAATTGTCTTTGTGCGTATTCAACAAGATCTTATATTTCACTGATAAATGCAATCATGTAGACTAAGATATCATGTGGTGAACAAATTGTCGGGAGAATTGTTGATGATTTATCATGAGACTTTGAGATGTATGTCAAGACGGGTAATATTGACCATAGTTCTACTTTGTGTACAATAATTAAAATGGTACTGATAATTAAAGGTATCTAGTGCGGTATCGATTACAATAATATAATAGAAAAAGATAATTTATCAATTTAGGCACAATGTTAGTCTTTTTCAAGATGTTTAATTGTAATTTATATGATGTGGTGAAAGTAATATATATGAAATGATGCTTAAAAATAGAATATGACATTTAATGTTGTTGGAATCTTTATTAGAAATTAGAAAATTAGTCGTTGCTAATATACGCTTAATAGTTTGTTAGTTTGTTTGTTTGTTATTCCTAATTTTTCTCTCATGTAGTTTTCGTTGCAATTGTAAGGCTTATTTAAAGCCAACAGAATTCACATTTGATAAGTAGAGCGTACCTCAATTTATCTGAAAAAGTTCCTATATATTTACATTTGGTATTAGAGCTCCACCACGGGGCCTGATAGAGTGAGTTATGTTGAAAAAATTTGGGTCATGTATATATATGATACGTATTTAAATGTGTTAGGGCCATTATTTATTAAGTCAAATAATAAAGTGATCTGACTAAATTAAAAAGTTTGGCTAAAGGCATATGTCATGAAAATAAAATTGTGTAGAGACCATAGAGCAATTTCTAATTTGATGAGGGGCCAAATTAGAAATACTAAAACTTAAGTAATTAACCTAATTCTGGTTATTTAAAAGGTCATGATCTCCTTCTGGGAGCACACACAGAAAGTAAGTATCAGTCCCGTTCCTTTCTTTCTATCCCCATCAAGAAAATCAAGAGGGAAATACAGGTGCTCTTCAGGTGGAAGACCATAAGATCAATATAGTACTCTACAAAGATATTTTCATTATGGCTAATTCAGGTACGCTTTCGCATTCAGTTTACAGCATGTTTATCAATAATGAGATTACGTTTATGTTTGCTCGTTAGAATCAATATGAGGATTATAAGTATTAGTTTTCCAACAAGTTAAACAATAGTGTTTGAGAGGAAAAACACTAGAGTGAGTGAAGGAAGTAAAATGGCATAATCAAGCAATTTTACCACACCATGTGTGCCCAAATTTGATGGAGATTGTGATCATTGGAGTCTACTCATGGAGAATCTACTTCAATCAAAGGAGTACTGGAGTGTCATTGAATCTGGAATCTAGGAACCAAAGGAGAATGAGTCGCTTAGTGCAACGCAATAGAAGGCATTGGATGAAGTAAAACTCAAAGACCTGAAAGCAAAGAACTATATATTTTAGGCCATTGACAAATCCATCCTCAAGACTACTCCACAAAAAGAAACAACTAAACAAATGTGGGCATCCATGAAGATCAAGTATCAAGGGAATGCTAGGGTGATACGCGCGCAGCTGCAGAGGTTTCGACGAACATTTGAAACCTTAGAGATGAAGCCAGGAGAATCAGTGAATGATTATTTTGGAAGAGTCATGGAAATAGAAAATGGCATGAGGAATTGCGGGGAGGATATAAACGATGTGAAAAAAATTGTTGAAAAGATACTTAGGTCTCTGACAGACAACTTCAACTTTATTGTATGCTCAATTGAAGAGTCTAAGAACATTGATCTCTTAACCGTGGATGAGTTGCATAGTTCACTACTTATTCATGAACAAAAAATAAGAGAGAAAAGGAGTGAAGAACAAGTTCTACAAGTTGAGCATGACACAAGTTCTGGACGTGGGAGAGGAAGAAACAACTCTCAAAGAGGAAGTAGCTATGTGAGAGGGCGAGGAAGAGCCAAGACATTTGTAAATAAAAATGTTATTATATGCTATCGGTGTCAAAAGCAAGGACACTACCAGTTTGAATGTCCAAATCTAGAAAAGGCAAACTATGATGAGTTTGATGAGGAAGAGGAGTTGCTCCTAATGACACATGCTGAAGTTTAGGGTACTAAGGACACAGGGATATGGTTCCTTGACTCTGGTTATTCGAATCACATGATAGGAAATAAAAGGTGGTTTTTTGAGCTAGACGAAAGTTTCAGACATACTGTTAGATTAGGAAACAACTCGTTAATGTTTGTACTGAGAAAAGGAAGTGTCAGGTTTGAAGTGGAGGGACTAACTTAAACTGTGTGATGTTTACTTTGTTCCAGACCTAACCAACAATTGTTGAGCTTAGGTCAACTCCAAGAAAAACACCTGGTCATCATAATAAAATAAGGTACTTGCAAAATTCATCATCCTCAGAGAGGGAAATTTATAGAGAACAAGATAACCATGAACCGGATGTTTGTGATTCATGCTACATTGAAACCATTTACAAAGAGATGCTTAAAGGTTGAGGAGGAGAATTTGGAGGACTTATGACATAAAAGGTATGGGCATGTAAATCATAAGTTCCTTGCTGTCATGCAGAAGAAACAGATGGTGAAGGGGCTACCAAAATTGAAGGAAGTCGTTAAGGTTTGCAAGGTGTGTAATATTGGCAAGCAACATCGAGACAAAATACCAAAGAAAAGTCACTGGAGAGCATCGAAAAAACTTGAATTGGTGCATGCTGACCTGTGTGGTCTGATCTCTCCAATCTCTAATAGTGGTAAGAGATATTTGCTAGTGTTTGTAGATGACTACTCTTGCAAAACTTGGATTTATTTCCTTGTAGAAAAAGGTGAAACATTTGAAATATTCAAATGCTTCAAGAATCTGGTTAAAAAAGAAGCTTATAAAGCAATATGTTGTTTACGAATAGATAGGGGAGGAGAATTCACCTCAAACAAGTTCAATCAATTTTGCATAGAGAATGGCATTAAAAGGCAATTAACAGCTGCTTTCACACCACAACAAAATGGAGTAGCCCAATGAAGAAATCAAACCATTATGAATATGGTGTGCTGCTTATTCACTGAGAAAGTGATGTCAAAGACCTTGTGGGCAGAAGCAGCGAAGTGGACCAACCATGTGATCAACAGAAGCCTTACCAAAGCAGTAAAGGAGATGGTACTAGAAGAAAAATGGAGCGCCAAAGTTGACTATTCAAGGTGTTTGGATCCATTGCCCACGTCCATATACCTGAGCAGAAGAGAACTAAACTGGACAACAGAAGTTGCAAATGTATCTTACTTGGAGTGAGTGATGAATCCAAGGCTTACCGTTTGTATGATCTAGTGTTAGAGAAAATCACAATCAGCAGGGATGTCATATTTGAAGAAAGAGAAAAATGGAATTGGAACCTGAACTCAGAAGAAACAAACAAAATACTCTTGATTGGGGTGATGATGGTACTAGCATGGAGGACTATGATGAAAAACTAGATATAGAAACAGAAGTGAGTAATGCTAGCAACCTTAAGCATACTCTAGAACCTAAGGAACAACCAAGAAGAGAAAGAAAAGCACCAAGTTGGTTGTAGGATTACGAAACTAGTGAGGACCTCTCTGAAGAAGAACAAGAGGCAAGTATGGTTTTATTTATGTCAAATAATGATCCCTCAAATTATAATGAAGTTGTGAATGATGGAAAATGGATAGAAGCAATGAAACTTGAGATAACTGCCATCGAGAAAAACAAAACATGGGAATTAGTGACTTTTCCAACATATGCCAAGAAAATTGGAGTGAAATGGATTTATAAAACCAAATTGAATGAAGAGGGCAAGGTTGACAAATACAAAGCCTAACTTGTTGCAAAAGGCTACACACAAACTGAAGGGGTTGATTACAATGAAGTGTATGCTCCGGTAGCTCGATGGGACATAATTCGGATTCTGTTGGCTGTGGCAGCACAAGAAGGATGGAATGTGTACCAGTTGGATGTAAAAAGTGCCTTCTTATATGGGGAGTTCAAGGAAGAAGTATAAGTAGAGCAACTTGAGGGCTTCATCAAAAGGGGAGAAGAAGATAAGGTATATAGGCTGAACAAAGCCTTGTACGGATTAAAGCAAGCACCAAGAACATGGTTAAGCATAATCGAGAGTTATTTCCAGAGAGAAGGATTTACAAAGAGTAGTCATGACTATACTCTATTCATCAAGAGAAGAGAAAAAAGAACAATGATGGTAAGTTTGTATGTTGATGACTTGATATATACTGGGAATGATGAAGAATTGTGTGCAAGGTTTAAGAAGTCAATGAAGGAAGAATTTGAGATGACGGACCTTGGCAAAATGAGGTTCTTTCTTGGAATTGAAGTAAGACAGAGTGCAAATGGAATCCACTTATGTAAGAAGAAATATGCTAGAGAGGTTCTAGATAGATTCAATATGTGGAATTGTAATTCTGTCAAAAATCTAATAGTGCTTGGAACTATGTTGTCAAGAGAAGGTGGAGAAAATGTGGACACAACCTTGTACAAGCAATTGGTAGGCAGTCTAATGTACCTAACAGCTACACACCCAGATATGATGTATGTTGTGTGTTTAATTTCACGTTACATGGCTAATCCAAAGGAGGAACACATGTAGATTACTAAAAGAGTCTTGAGGTATTTAAAAGGTACACTAGATTTTGGTTTGTTTTATAGAAGAAGTAAAGTTTCAAATCTTTTTGCATATACTGACAGAAAGAGTACTTCAAGGTATGTCTTTTTGCTCAATGATGCAGCAGTTTGTTGGAGTTCAAAGAAATAGGTCATAGTCACATTATCTTCAACAAAGGCTGAATATGTGGCAACAACCTTGTGTGTTTGCCACTGTATTTGGGTGAAGGGAGTTTTGGAACAGATTACAGTTAAAAATTGTGAGTGTATTTATATTTTTTATGACAACAGTTCATCAATCAAGCTCTCTAAAAATCTTGTGATACATCGAAGAACTAAACACATTGATGTTAAATATCATTATCTACGTGATCTTTCAAGTCTGGGAGTAGTGAAGTTAGTTTTTTATGGAACACAAGAATAAGTTGCAGACATTATGATAAAACCAATGAAGTTGGATCAGTTTGTGAAACTTAGGAGGCTACTGGCAGTACAACCACTTGAAGATTAAACTGTATGATCATTGAGCATTTTAGTTTAAGGGGAATAATTTGTTGGAATCTTTATTAGAAATTAAAAAATTAGTCGTTGCGAATATATAAGTTTGTTAGTTTGTTTACGTTTAATAGTTTGTTAGGTTGTTGGGTTTGTTATTCCTAGTTTTTCTCTCATGTAGTTTTCATTGCAATTATAAGGCTTATTTAAAACTATTAAAATTCACATTTGATAATTATTTGAAAAAGTTTTTATATATTTACACGTGTATGGTTTATAGATAATTAAGTTATTATCTTTTGACTTATCGTATTTTCTTATTTGTTGAAGTTGATTATTATAATAGTATTATTTATACGAGGACAGATGTTGTTGACCTTACTTTACAATTGTAGAGAATGTAGTATAGATGATTACGTACATGGAAACATAATTTGTATTTTATATTTTGATCTTGTAATTAATAAAAATTATTTTATATAATATACAATATTCCATATGCATTATTTTCATTCATTTAACATAATTATTTAGGTTATGGTAGTAATTTTTAGGATTCATATGGATTATTTATCTTTGGATATACAATGATAACGTAAAAAAATCTATCTAACTAATTGATTTAATCTTATACAATAAATTACATTTGTTATTATATATGTAAAGAAGGATTTATATTTATTTTATATGAACAAAAAATTACGTTTATATTAATTTTAAATAATTTATGATTGGCAATTATAATAAAAATAAAAAATATTTTAAAATATAAATCATAAAATATTAGTTATATTCAAATATTCAAAATTATAATTATTTGATCTCATATGATCTTTACACTTGCATTGGATCTCAAATCCAATATTCCTTCGATCATAGAGTTCATTTCATACAATGGAGATATATTACATGAATATCTTTTGGCTGCATGAGTAATATATTTTTAGTATCCAACTCATGAATTTGTTTTTTCCTTATTCAAGAAATCATTCCTATCTCAAGCGATGTGCTCATTTCGTGTTGACATCTGAATTGACTAACAAACAAAATAAATTCTTTTTTTTTTCATATTTTGCTTGAGTAAACACTCATCACTTGAGTGAAGTATAGGCCTAGAATTTTTTCTACGGTATAGATATAACCTAATAGAACAAAAAAGAAAGAATATGTCATAACTAAAAATAATACAAAAGGAGAAAAACAGGATTTGTTATAGAAAAATAATTATGTTAATACTTCCCTTCAAATTGGACGGTGGATGTCACAAATACCCAACTTAGATATAGAATTGTTAAAAGGTGTATGATGAAGAGGTTTAGTAAAAGTATTCACAAACTGGTTGGAAGACAAAACAGTAAAAAGATGAAATAGGCCTTGTAGAATTTTCTCACGAGTCACATGACAATCGATCTCGATGTACAAGACAGACTGATTGTCACAATAGACTGCAGTAGGACCCAATGAAACATGAAGATCACGAAAAAGATAATGTAACCATTGAATCTCACAAGTGAGGCTGGCTAATGCTTGATATTCTACTTCAAAGGATGAACGATAGATAGTAAATTTTTTCTTGGATCTCCAGGAAATCAATGAAGAACCAAGGAAAACACAAAATTCGGTGATCGAGCGGCGAGTGTCCAAACAATAGGCCTAGTCCGAATCAGCAAAAGCAGAAATACGAATGTCAATAGAGGTAGAGAAAAATAACCATTGGCCAAGTGAACTTTTAAGTATCTAAGAACCGGATGACAACTTTATAATGAACATCAAGAGGTTAAGTCATATAACACTGCATAAGGACATTTAAAATGCAATAACGGATTATACATTTAGGTTTAGGTTTAAAATGTGCTAGATTTGTTCTTTCCTACTATAGGAGGGAGCTCCTATTGAAGTTCCAATGGTTTCACCAAGGAAACATGTGTATGAATGACTACTTTAAGACGCTAGAATATTTGCTGCTTAGGGTCGGTATGCATGATGAAACCAATGAGTCTAAGGTAGCTAGATTTGTTAGTGGTCTTAGAAGAGACATCCAAGACTTAGTAGAATTATACAAATACTCATCCATTGAGTTTTTTTTACATCTTGCTCTTAAAATTGAAAATCAACTAAAAAGAAAAGATGGGGCTAAGAGGAGTTATTCACATAATGACTACTATAGTTCCAATTAGAAGGGCAAAGGCAATGAAAGTGAAAAATTAGAAAGAAACCCTTCCAAGTCTCTCCAAGAGGTAACACCTAGGGGAAATTCTTCAAGAAACCCTATTTGTAACACCTCTGCGCCTCAAAGGACTAGCTCCATAAAATGTTTTTAATATCTTGGGTATAGACACATTGTCTCAAACTGTCTTACCAAAAGGATTGTGATTTTGAGCGCCAGCAGAGATGTCGATAGTGAGAATTCCTTTTCCCCCTCCCCCTCTAGAGAGGGTTCCTCTGAACATTCTTCCTCAAGCGATGAGGAGATCAAGCCTTGTGAAAGTGATTTGTTAATAGTAAGACAGATGTTGGGACAAGTCCAAAAGGATCTGGACACTACTCAAAGAGAAAACATTTTTCATACCAACTATCTTATTAATGACAAATTGTGTTCCCTCATCATTGATGGAGGAAGTTGTGTGAATTTTGCTAGCATGAGGGTAGTAGACAAGCTTGGTTTACCCACTACTCCTCATGCCAAGCCCTACAAACTTTCTTGGCTCAGTGAGGAAGGTGAGATAGCGATTAATAAACAAGTCCTCATTGACTTTGTAATTGGGAACTACAAGGATGAGTTTCTTTGTGATGTTGTGTCAATGAAAGCATCTCATATTTTACTGGGTAGGCCGTGACAATTTGACAAACAAACTTTTCATGACAGTTATATAAATAAATTTTCTTTTACCTTCCATGGGTGCAAAATTACTTTGGAACCCCTTTTCCCTCAAGAAGTTAGTAAGGACCAAGAAAAAAATGCCAAAAAAGAGAAAAGAACAATAAAGAAAAAAGAGGGGAAAAAAAAAGAAGAGGAGGGGTCAAATTCAAAGGCCCTTCAATCTCTTTGTTGTATTATATTACTCCTTCGTTTGATTCCATTGTCTTATGTTTTTCCTTTGTAAACACTAATAATCTTATATTCAACCCCTAACATTCTATAAATTTTCTTCTATTCTACCAAAGTAATCTTAGAAAGATTTTGTTGCCCAATGAAATAATAAATGATTCATATCATTGTGTCCAACTATCAAAATTTTATTAGATAATATAAAATTAGGAAATTCCTAATCTAATAATTGTATCTTGTTGGTAATACTAAATTATTTGTTTGAGTATTTATTAATTATCTTAAACTCTTTATATTCTTGTATCTTAAATTTTCTTATTAAATTTAAAATTTTCATATCTCGATTATTCTTATTCCCTTCATATTCTTTTTTCAAATAAT